CATTATCAGACCTGACCTATCTTTTACTGTTGGAGTTGTTAGTCAGTTTATGCAAAATCTGTGTATTGATCATTGGAATGCTATCATTTACATCCTAAAATATCTTAAAAAGGCTCCAGGATAAGGTCTATTGTATGAAGATAAAGGGGGTACCCAAATATTTGGGTATTGTGATGATGATTGGGTTGGATCCCCTATGGACAGATGCTCCACTACAAGATATTGTGTTCTCATTGGAGGTAATATTATTTCTTGGAAAAGCAAGAAACAAAATATAGTGGCCCGGTCTAGTGCTGAAGCTGAATATAAAGCAGTGACATCTCTAACTTGTGAACTAGTGTGGGTGAAACAATTCCTTCAATAACTAAAATTTTGTGAGATCCAACAGATGAAGATGTATTGTGATAATCAAACAGCTCTCTACATTGTCTCTAATCCGATGTTCCATGAAAGGATCAAACATATAGAACTTGATTGTCATTTTATTCGTGAAAATTTGTTGTCTAAAGAAATTTGCACTGAATTTGTCGGGTCCAATGATCAACTTGCAGATGTGCTGACAAAGTCTTTAAGAGGACCTCAAATTGAATTTATTTGTTTCAAACTTGACACATACAATTTGTATGCTCTAGCTTGAGGCAAAGTGTTATAATTATTATTAGTTAGTGGATAGTGGTTAGTAGTTAGTGGTTGGTGGTTGTTGTTTTAAATGTTGTAATCCTATATATATATATATATATATATATATATATATATATATATATATATATATATATATATATATATATATATATATATATATATATATATATATATGAGATCATAGAGTGGAGGGAACATCCCACTGAATTATAAATCTTCTTTTAACTATCTTTACTCTCTTAACTATTAGTTATGACAAGACTTTAAAGAATGAACTCTTGGTGTCATATGTCATAAAATGTAATTAATGTTTTAATTTTATTATATGAATAATATATTTTAAATTGAAAGGTGAATGATTATAAACAAAAAGGCTTAGAATTGAAAAAATTATTCCCATGTTACGTGAATAAAGTCAAAATCAAATGCTTTAATTTAAAATGTTAAATGACTTGATTGAAATCAAAATCAAATGCTTTGATTTAAAATGTTAAATGACTTGATTGAGTTTGCAGTGTATGTAGTTCATGTGTGCAATTAATGTTACAAGATAAAAATCAATGAAAAATCTTATGTATGGTTAATAACAATTAAGAAAAGTGTGGGACATTAATGAGTATCTTGACTACCATAATCGAGATGACAAGGATCACAAAAAAACTTAGGAGGAGACCAAACTCAAGAACCTAGGAAACCATTCTATTAATTGTGTGAGAAATCAATGAATTGGAAATAAAATTGTTAAGAAACATAGAAAGGGTAAAGGATCATTAAAGATTGACATGTCATTTACTAAAATGCAGAAAAAAAACGATGAATGTCATTTTTGTGAGATGTTTGGACATTTTCGAAAGGACTGTCTAAAATGTAAAGCTTTGTTCGAAAAGTAAAATGAGCATAATGCTTACGTATGTTTTGAATCAAACTTAACTAAAGTTTCCCATAATACTTAGTGGATTGATTATGGATGTACAACTCATGTTTCTAATGTGATGAAAGTGAACAACACCCTAGTTCGTTTGCTGAGAAACATGGTATTTGTGTTCGATACATAATGTGATGCACACCAAAACAAAATGGTGTGTCAGAAAGTTGTAATTGAACCTTAATGAATATGGTTAAGAGCATGTTCAATAATTTATGCTTACATGTATCATTGTAGATGTATACTTTAAAGGCTGTCATATATTTGTTGAACAAGGTTCCTAGTAAAGTTATTCAAAAGACTCCTTTTGAGTAATGGATAAGTAGGAAACTCAGTTTGAGACACCTGCATATTTGAGGTTGTTAGGTAGAAATAAGAATATACAATCCACAAGAAAAGAAATTGGATGCAAGAATAATCAATGGATATTTCATTGGTTATCCAGGAAAATTAAAAAGATATATGTTTTACCGTCCTACCCATATTATAATAATTGTTGAAACTGGAAATGTTCGGTTCATTGAGAACGGTGAAACCAGTGAGAGTGAAACTTCACGAAATGTGGAGATTAAGGAAGTTAAGAGTACATGTTTTTGTAACTAGTACTTCTTCAAAAGTTGTTGTTCCTCATGTTGTAGAACCACACAACAATAAAGAAGAATAACAAATTAATAATCCCGAGGTTAGCAATGAGTCAGTAGTAGAACAACCACAAAAAATTAGTATTAAGAAGATATACAGATAAAGGAAGTTTGTTATTTTGAATGATTATGTGGTTTATTTACAAGAGTAAAAAAATGACTTAAGTATTGATAATGACCCAGATTCATTTTCAATAGTCATTAGTGGTGATAATTCTCATAAGTGGTTAAATGCTATGAAAGATAAACTTAAATCAATGACACAAAATGATGTATGGACATTGTGGTATTGTTAGAAGGATGCAAGAGAGTTAGGTGTAAATGGATCTTTAAGACTAAGCGTGACTCTCATAGTAATATCGAACGTTACAAGGCCCGACTTGTTACCAAAAGTTTTATTCAGAAAGATGACATTGACTATAAGGAAACATTTTCGCCTATTTCTAAGAAATATTCTTTTAGATATCATCTTGAGTTGTATCAAATAAATGTTAAAACTTCCTTTTTGAATGAGGATTTAAGGATGGTGTTTATATTGACCAATCAATATGGTTCATTGAAGAAGGAAAAGAACACATGGTGTGTAAACTTAAGAAATCATATATGAACTTAAAAAAGTTTCTCGACAATGGTATCTTAACTTTAATAATATTATTCTGTCCTTTGAATTTATGGAAAACATTGTTGATCGATGTATATATTTGAATGCCAATGAGAGCAAGTTTATATTTTGTATTCTGTATGTTGATGATATATTGCTTGCGACTAATGATCTTGGTCTATTAAGTGAGACTAAAAAGTTTCTTTCTAATAACTTTGAAATAAAATATATGGGTGAGACATGCTATGTGATAGAAATTGAAATATTTTTATGATAGATCACAAAGATTGTTAGGTTTGTCTCAGAAAACATATATTAATAAAGATTTAGAGAGATTTAGAATGAATAAATGTTTAACATCTCTCATTCCAATACAAAAATAAGACAAATTTAGTTTCATGCAGTGTCCGAAGAATGATTTAGAATAGAAATAGATGGAAAATATCCCTTATGCATTTGTTATTGGAAGTTTGATGTATGTTCAAACATGTACAAAGCCAAATATTAGCTTCGTAATTGGTATGCTGGGTAGAGTAATCTTGTACTAGATCATTGGAAAACTAAAAAGAAAATTTTAAGATACTTACAAGGAATAAAAAATCATATACTTACTTATAGAAAATTTGATCACCTTAAGGTGATTGAATATATAGATTCAGACTTTGGCAATTGTATGGATATAAGAAAGTTTACATTTGGTTATGTGTATCTCTTAACAGGAGGAACGATTTCATGAAAATGTGTGAAGCAATTGGTGATGTATCCACCATGGAAGTTAAATTTGTGGCATGTTTTGAAGCTACAGTTCAAACTAATTGGTTGCAAAATTTTATTTTAGGATTTGGAGTAATTGATAGCATTACCAAGCCGCTGAAAATTTATTGTGATAATTACGCAACAGTATTATTTTCTAAGATCGACAAGTATTTTAAAAGTGTTAAGCATATGAAATTGAAATACTTTATCGTTAAAGAAAAAATTCAAAAATGTAGAATGTCAATAAAATATATTAACACTGATTTTATGGTTGTTAACCTTTTAACAAAATGGTTACCGCCCAAATTGTTTGTTGGCCATTAGAGAATATAAGTATTATGTCTATTAGTGAAAGTTGAATGCTAATATTATTATTAATATTTACATAATACTTTGAGCTCCTTAATGTGTAAATTTCTGAAATTTGTATTTTCTTCCTTTATGTATATGCATGCAAATTATGATGAAGAAAACAAATTATGTTATTATTATTAAAAATGACATTATGTTTGAATCTATTATGAATTTCTCCTTGTAAAGTCATATTAAGGAGAAAGAGATAATACAGATAGTATATGGAAGAGAATATGTCGATTGAATGTCATGTAACCGCACTCTTATTATTTCGTATCTTTAATTATAAATAATGATGTAACAAATTTATGTAAGATTCTTTAATGCACATTATGATTTATATATCAAATCACAAAATGTTATAAGAGAATGTTAGAATTAATAAATAAATTAATTCAATTATGTGACTAGGAAATTATAAAACTAATGATAACCAACTTGGTGGATACGAAGAGTTATCTTTTAACATGAATGTTAACCAACTTGATGAAAATTAGCTATATAAAAGAAACAAAAGTTTTATCTTTGTCATAAGGTTTTCTCTAACCATCAGAAAATGTGAGAGAAGAAAGAAAGACAAATACATAAATTAAAAAAAAGATATTGAAAAACAAAGAGAGTAAAAAGCGTATTTTCATTGGATATTTCATGGATAAGATTAATATCTCCCTATCATGATTTACATGAATGAGTGAAAATCATTAATTTTAATATTTTATAAATTAGTTTCCTGAAATTAAATTAAGAATTCATGAAAACCATTTGAACTATTACCCTTTCTCCCAAATAAAAAATGTTATTAACAGACTCTTATGATATGAATCAATTCATAATTTTATTGTTTTTTATAAATTTTAATTAATAAAAGTTTATAAAATAAGTGCATTGGAGAGTGCTTCTCCCTGATGTGGCTTGCTTTGTCATGGAATTAGATACTCTGGAGGAATGGAATCTAAATTACAGATAGAATCTGCTTTTAATATAGGAGTTGATAAATATCCAAGGAATTAGATTCAAAGCAATCAATTTAAGAATAAACAAAGGTTGTTATATCTGCCATTCTGTCTATAAATTGCAGTATATGATAGCAGATGAATCGTGTGCTTGTGCTTACATACCAATCCTTGTGAGAAAAAACCATAAAAAAACAATGCAACGCTCAGAGAACTACCACGCCTACATATCAAAAGTTCACAGGTCACACAGTGTTCTCCCTGGTGTTCCTCGCTACCCCAATGCTCACCTGGCCTTCAACAATGGCCACCACAACCCACACTCTAATGAGAGGGTTGAGACGGTAGAGCATGATGAGACTGAGGATTATGAAGTCATGCACCAAGAAAGAGTGGAAGTTGAAAGGACTCAGGGCAACCCCGGGAAGAACAAGGGTCGTTTTGAATTGCACAAGTGGAAGACCTACAGGCCTTAAGAAGATCATGACCAACAACCTAGTTTGCTACAAAAACTACCTAATACATTAAACTTAGCAGCATGTATGATTGTGTGAAATAAATGCCTGCTAAGCCAGCCATTATGTTTGCTTAATACGGGACTGTTTTATATATCAGCAGTACATTAGTACTGAGATTTTCCCTGTATGAACTATTAATGAAGGATATAGTTATCTACACAGATCACTGTGGTTTATTATTTGTTTATTTCAACTTTTCTTCATTTGCCTTGTGAATACATATTTTAAACAGAACAAAATGTGTGAGCATAAGTAAGCCAGGATATCAGGGTGCATATATTGAATAAAAATGAAGAGTAAATCAAAGTGGGAGTTACATTAAAATTGAAAAGATGACAGAAGTCATGTATCATCATGGTGTGGAATATTGGGGGCATTAAACCGCCTAGAAGACATAAAATTGAATAGATTCCTGAGGCTATTCTTACTCTCAGGCTTGCGCTTGCGTTGGATTGGAGTGGAACCACATAAGTCATGAAAAGGGTTATCTAAAGTGAGCCCTGTTTCTATCCTTCTGGACACTGTGACAAGCTCATAGGAGTCCCAAAGTGAGTGCTGAAAGTCCCAATAAGTGTTTTGAGAAGAAGCTGGTGGCTTGTTCAAAGCTTCGAGCTTAAACCTCGAAGGCTTGCCTCTGAAATTTCTACGATGAGCGTCAAATTCGCTCATGGACTTGGAAGTGCCGGAGTGGCTGTACCAGGCCTGTGCAACGGCTTTCAAAACTTCCAAGTCTTGGGGCTCGTGTTGTTGGAGCTCTGCCCTTTTCTTCATGGCACTGAAAAAAACATTTTCTTCACGAGGCCATGCTCATGGCTACTTTCGTGGAAACCACCACCTCACATATGCCTTGTGGAAAGGAAAGGGATAAGCTGATGCATATGCAATTTCTTTCTTTGTTTCTTTCTTTTTCTTTTTCGTCACTGAGAACGCATTTTGTTTTTGTTATCCTATTTTTTGTGAACATGAGCTTTTTTCCGCTTCAACCAGTTAACATGAATTCGTAAAAGAAAGATTAATATAAAAATAAATAAAATATCATTTTCATCCGTAAAATATTAATAATATATTTTTAGTTTCTCAAAATTGTCAATTATTTTATCACCATTTGTATTAAAGTGCTAGTTATTTTAATAATATGTCATTTATTAGTTAATAAAATATATGATATAAGATAATAAATAATTTTTCTTAACTAAACGTGTTCTTATAATGTATAAATAAATATAATTCTTATTTTATTAAATCAATTATTAAGAATAAAATACATATTTCATAATTTTTAATATAAAATAATATTATAGTATAAATTAAAAAATCTAATTTAGACAATTTTTTTTCTCATCAAATAAGAATATAAGTAACAAGTTCAAGGTTATTTGTATTTCCAGACATTGAAAAAATATCTAAAGATTTATGAAGAGAAAATCATTCCATCAATGTTTTCCTTTGAGTTTTATTAAAAGTGAGCTGATCATATTATATATATAAAAAAAAATCATAGTTTACATATATGACTCAATGTACTATGCAAGTTATTTAACGAAATTCTTACTCGAGACCAAATTTGATACATTCTATTTTTTTTAAATTAAAAAAGAATGGTGACTTTTAGGGGGACCAACACCATACTTTTCCTAAAATAATAATATTACAAGGGTAAAGCAAAATCCATGAAAAGTTCATCAAGGATAATAAAGAGTTCACATATCACTTAAAAATAAAATAAAAAAAACCACCAAATAAAAATTCACCAATGGTTAAATTGCTATATAATGCTTAAAATTATTTTATTATGACTTGTTTTAATAATTGATAAAAAAAGGGGGGGGGGGGGTTTCAAAGGGTACTTAACAAGAACTACGTATTATATAAGCTCTCATCCTTTTAATGATGCTTAATTTCTAATGACTGAGATTAAAATTTGCAGAAAATGGAGGGTTTCTGGTATTTTAGTTTACTAGAGTTGCGAAAGGTGTAGGAAGATCGTTCATCTATTGTCAAGTATATAAATGAGTCCATGTATTGAAAGCAAGCAGAAATGTGTCAATTGCATTCTTAAAGTTGGTTCTGGCCAAAACTGTCATAAACTTTGGTCAATAATTCTGACATGTTTAAGACGACAATAAGAAAAGATGCAATGGAAAGTTATGAAAGACCATGGTTCATTGGAAATGAATCAATAATAACATTCTTGTTCCAAGGTAAATAGTCAAGCATTTGTCAATCACAACTCAATTGAAATTCAAAATTCAAATTACAAACCAGGAGCCAACACAAGGAACTAGCTTTAGAAGCCAAAACACCATGTTATGAATTGTCATGCATGTACATCCATATCATTTTAGAAAAAACACTAAAAGCTATAATGCATAATCTTTTGAAAAATAACCATTATTGACAACCTTACTGGTCATAGATGAAAATATCTTCTAATTTAAAAATGAAACTTAGCCTGACATCATATCTTGTATCCCAGTGGTTTTCCAACTGCTAATTATCAAAAGTGATAGTATTAATCAGTTAAATTTTGGTAAAAAAAAAAGACATAGGTACTGAGAGAGAAGAGGTCCTAGGGATCAGGCAGCAGATGACTCAGTGTGACTTTCAGATGACCCGAAAAGTTGAGATATTTTACTATGTGTACGGATATGGTGAGGAGTCTTGTACAATAGATCTTGTAAATTCAATTAGTTTAGCATTGAGTCAATTAGCTCAACTTCTTGTAAGATTACAACCAAAACATAAATATCTTTTATGCCTAATGTTTATAATATTTATTCATGTTTAAATTTGAGTCAGAGAGTAAAAAAAATATGAACATAACTATAATAAGAACCCAGAATTCAAACAAGGAAAAGTAAAAGATGGAATATGATGAGGAATCAAAAACATGTTACTTGAGATTGAGATTGATTCAAGATAAGTGAGAAGATACACTGTCATTTGAATTCTTAATATTTTAAAATAAGACTAAAATAGTGTTACACTAGAAAGAGAACAATGTTCTCATAATTTCACAAAGAAAAATAAATGTGAAATATGGATATCACTTTAGAATGTTTTAAAAATTAAAATGACATTAGAACATTCCATGGTTGGCTTGTTTGAAGAGAGATCATGATTTCCATTGATTTCATCCTTGTTCTCCAAGACACCAAACAGGCTCTGGCACATTTTATTTATGTTCTCTCCTTAGGCGCAAGTTAATTTCATGTTTTCCTTATCTGGTAAGAAGCGTATTTGACCACATGTTTTTCATATTCCATGAAATCGAGACTTCAACTAAACTTAGATCATGATTGAATGTCTTTATAATCGAGATCTAACATCAATACCTAAATCAAAATTACAATTAAAAGAAAATACAGTTAAAAAAACAATTTTTAAGGACTACTAAAAATCCATCCATATACATATACTCATCACCAAATAATCAGTTTACTTTCTCCTATAGGTGTTTATATAAAGATTTCACTTAAGAATATACTAATTAAAAAGAATGATGAGTATTTTCATTTCATATTTTGGTAAGTAAAAGGATGAATAATCGCTAGTACACTTCAATATCTGCACTTTCTTCGGTAACATCAGCTGAAAATCACTTTTATTTATTTGTTTTTTAAGCATTCATCTAAGATGTGACAGAAAAAAAAAAAAAACAGACGATTGGGACTAGTACATCTGTGACTTGAACCTTGGTTATTTCCTATACTGTCGTCAGGACGGACAGAATCAATTTACTTTATACAGTGATAGTTATTTGATTTAGATCTATCAGTGTTTAACCTTGTTTCCATTTCATAGAAACGCAGAACTAGTACTAGGAAATAACTAAAATGAGATACTTAATCTCAGACTAATATCAGTTGGCACCATCAATAAGGTAAAGATAAAGCAGATTGATGAATTTTTATGTAGTGTACCAAAAGGTAAACTTCAATTGAAAGATATGAAATATAGTTAAATGCATATAACTATGGCTTAGACTACTATACAGCACATTAAAACTCCGTGCCTGTTGAATCAGCATGAGGCAATCTGGAAAGGAGCTGCTACCAATCCATGCTGTGTGTGACTGTAAATTCTAGTACCACATTTACCCAATATGGTTGAGAATACCAACTGCTGAACAAAAGTTGCCCTCAGCCTTTTCTCTTGCTGATCCTGTTCTTCATTTATATCTGGTGCATCTGTGCCAGACCTACAAAAAGCAGAACCATAAACAATATTTCAGCATTGCATTTACGGGGAGACTTTCACAAGCCTTCTTTCTTCCTCTTTTTAGAACCAGGATAGAAGATTGCTACCTATTACAAAGCTACAAGGCATAATGTGGTAAAATGAGAATATTTTCATTTATGATTTTCAATAAATTTACTTGGACGAATGCACGGAAAAATCTGAAATTTAAACACGGGAAAGAAAGTCTTAATCATGAGCATATGTCCAGACTGGATCTGAATCAAATTTTTTTCTTCATGGGTGGTTCTGACACTTAAAACCATTTATGATTTTTTTATTCAGAAAACCATTTATAACTTTTTATTCAGAAAACCATTTATAATCTGCAATCCATACTAGAAATACTTCATGAAAAATATTTGACAGTATTAAAGAAAATAGTATTAACCATTCATGATATATTAATGTTTTCTACACCTCAAAAATATTTAATTATTAAAGTGCAACTACTACTGAGGAGAACATGCACGGGAAATGTGAAAAACACAGACAGATATTTCAGCAGGTGGCTCATCCATTGATAGTCAATTCTGACTCAGGGTATGGCACAACTGAACAAAATTAAACATTGAATTTTGTTTTGACATATCCTTCAATGGAAAAAACTATCGTCAAAGTAGCATGCTAATACAAATTTACAGGCAAACCTTGATACAAAACATTTGAATCATCCTTCGTAACAAAATACAAGCTATTTAAGTGGGAATAATCCGCATGTGCATTGCTATATCTGATAAATCAATGATTTTATTGTTATGTATAAACTAAGTTCTGCAACTACTGAGTAATACAGAAGTAACCGAATCATAAACCAGCATTCTAATTAATATCAACTTCATTAACTTCCGTCCAAACCAACTAACGGAGTAAGTTAACGTTAGCTTGATACTGTAATAGAATACATTATGTGAGTAGCTTAATCAAGTTTATTCTTTATTCTATGCATTGAATGTTAGTATTGCGGCAAATCATCTCCATTCTATCTAAATACTAGAAAGCACACACAAAATTGTGAGACACTAATCCGGGTAATAATGCATTATTATTCATTACAACTAGCAAATTTTGTTCTGGAGGAAATCATTATATATGTGATGCACTCTGCAGTAAATTTTTCAAGTTTTCTCCTGCAATGCAAAATTGATCATGGCTACGAACTTCGATGGAAAAAGAACCATACCTTTTTGCATCAGGATTGTTTATATTCTTGTTGCTGGTCCTGGAGTTTTCATCTAGATGGAAATTGTTGAAGTTTGGAATAGGGTTGCATATAAATGGTGATAAGAGTGGATCAGTTATTGATTCTTGTTTGTTCCCCCTGGTAGCCAGCTTCTTGCCAAGCATTGCTGAGTTACCAGACCAGATGCTTGATTTCTCAGGCTTCCATGCCCACTTCAGATAAAAAAAAATGTATTGAAAGCAAGTAGAAATGTGTGTCAATTGCATTCTTAAAGTTGGTTCTGGCCAAAACTATCTTAAACTTTAGTAAATAATTCTAACATGTCTAAGACGACAATAAGAAAAGATGCAATGGAAAATTATGAAAGACCATGGTTCATTGTAAATGAATCAATAATAACATTCTTGTTCCAAGGTGAATAGTCAAGCATTTGTCAATCACAACTCAGTTGAAATTCAAAATTCAAATTACAAACCAGGAGTCAACACAATAAACAAGGAAGTAGCTCTAGAAGCCAAAACCCCATGTTATGAATTGTCCTGCATCTACATCCATATCATTTTAGAGAAAACACTAAAAGCTGCAATGCATAATCTTTTGAAAAATAGCCATTATTGATACTGGTCATAGATGAAAAATTCTTCTAATTTAAAAATGAAACTTAGTCTGACATCATATCTTATATCCCAGTGGTTTTCCAACGGCTAATTATCAAAGGTGATAGTATCAATCAGTTAAATTTTGGAAAAAAGATGACATACGTAATGAGAGAGAAGAGGTCCTAGGGATCAGGCAGCAGATGACTCAGTGTGACTTTCAGATGACCCGAAAAGTTGAGATATTTTACTATGTGTACGGATATGGTGAGGAGTCTTGTACAATAGATCTTTGGCCTCAGAGAGTCTACCCTCTTGGAATAAGGATTCAAAAACCTGAACGTAAACAACATGGGAAGGGTAACTTTTTACACTCAATGCCTTAAGGAATGCCTCAGCATCCTCTACAGACCCAAACTTGGAAATATAAGGCACAAAGGGTAGATGGAATGGAGGGTAGTTGTGGTTCTTCATCAAACGAAGAAGTTCAAGTGCATCTTCAAACTTCATGACTCCCAATAGCTTTTCAATCAGTCTTTTGTATGTAGCTTGCCATGGAGATATACGACACTTCCTACTAATCTCTATAACCAACTCCTTCGCACCTTCTATTCTGTTTTGGCTAAGAAAACCATCAACCAGAACATCTAATAAATCAGCATCCGGATTGCAGCCCTTTTCAATCATCTTAGTAAAACAAAGTATCGCTTTATCTAATTCATTGGCATCACAATGCCCTTGGATCAAGACGGTCCAAGTTTTAATATCAGGGATGCATCCGCAAGATTCCATTTCCTCCAGCACTTTACATGCTTCTTCAAACCTCCTCATCTTGCAAAGTCCAAAAACCGCTTGACTGTAGGTGATGTTATCAGGCTCGTGACCAGCATTTCTCATAGTCCTAACAATCTTTTCAGCTTCATCAAATTTCCCAGCACCTGTCAAAGACCTGTGGATTCCGTCATATATCGCCTTCGAGAGAGTGTGCCCTGTTGATTCGTATTTCCTAGCAACCCTGAAAACTAAATCCAAATTTGGCTTATCACTTGCGGAGATGCTCCTCAAAAGGATATTGCAATCTTGAACCAATGGCTTATATGAACCATCCATCATAAGCTCATAAAGCTTGACAGCATCCTCGATCATCCTAATCTTTTGAAGCTGCCTTGATATCTTTACGTAAGTATCAATGTCCAACTCATGACCCACACTCTTCATCTCCGCAATAACACTCCAAAACTCCTGAATTGAGTCATTCCTAGCAAGAACACTTGCAACTGCATTGTAAGTTATTGTATTATGCTCATAATCAGGTTGTGTCCCAACCCAACGAAAGAACTTGTAAGACTTTAGAGGAGTATTTCGAAGCTCTTTCAAAACCCTTATTACAAAATTATCCGACAGCTGAATTTTAAGCTCTGCAAGTTTACCCATGACCTTCTCATCCCATTCAGACACTGAAATGATACCAACCACCTTGGTGACAACACTTTGCATTGCATTCTCCTCTAGCATCCGATTATAGAAGTGAGTCAAAGCAACAGAGTCACTGTTCATCTTTTCTCTTTTAAAGTTAACGTAAATTGTGAGATAAGTTTCTTCGTTGAGATAAAACCCATTTTCCTTCATCGTCCTTAAAGTAACCCAAAATTGCTTCATAGTATCCTTTGTGGCCAAAATCCTAACAATTAAGCTAAACACTGAAGAGCTTGCCCAAAACCAGTCTTTCTTAATGACCCAATTGAAAAAACACGAAGCTTTTTCTGGGTTTTTATCCAACCGCTTTATGACATAAATAACGGTTTCATGGGTCATATGCGGGCAACGACTTTCTAACTCGAGCTCTAACGCTTGGCACCAATCGTTGGTCAAAACAAGCTCCACAATAGAGCTCGGTTTGGTAGAAAAATAGAGGTTATGTTTAGCGATGGGGAAACGTATTTGGTCATACGAATCCAAAAGGGGTAGTGGATTATAGAGAGAGAAGTGAGTCACCTGGTTTCGAATCACTAGAACCCGGGTAGCGATTGAAGATTCGAGCACTCTGAGAGAGGCGGCAATTGCCCTCACGCGAATCATCGTAGCGCCGAAATGGGGATGGTGATGGTACCGGTGCCGGTGAGTGGCCGCGGCCACAGAGGTGGTGAGCCTTGCGATTAGGGCTGGGCGGCGGCTGGTCGGGGGCTGTTTTGAGGGAAAGGGATGGCGGCACAGTAAAGGTGAGGCGTGTGTGAGTGGAGGGGGCTGAGAATCGAACGGTGCGATGCGCGGCGAGGGCGGGTGGCCCTGGAGTTCCACCAGTGAGAGGTGTGAACCGTGGTGGCTCACGGTGGAGGTGCAGCGAAAACCGGGATTGCTGGGTGATTTGGCTATCACGTTAGTGCTGGATTTGGTGACCTGATGGAGATGGGGTTGGTAGAGAGGAAAGGTGGGTGAGGAGGCTAGGGCTGACCGCGGGTAAGGGAGAAAGGAAAAGGCTGGTGTGGGAGCAGGGACGCGCGTTTGGTTGGAGGTGATCAGAGTAGAAGCGGGGGTTAGAGATGAGGGTAGGAAGAGTCAAGGAAGCAGAAGATGGGTAGCGTGAAAAATAAAATAAAATAAAATAAAACTCCAAAGACAAATGTGACAAGATAAGATCACAAATAAACCCGTAAATATTGGGATCCTATGGGAAAAAATTGAGCTGGCTGAAAAAAGAAATAAAGATAGATTTAAGTTTTGTTGTTTTAAAAAATTAGAAGCGGACAACGATTCTAATACAATTCTCATTTCCATTTCGAATTTATTTTTAAATTTAAATTTTAAAATATTAATATTTTAAATTTATTTTTTTTATTATATATAAAGTCTTTTTTTTATATTTTATTATTTTTATTTCTTTTTTATCCATTTTTTAATTTTTTTATCTCTTATATCAATTAAGTTATTATATTTTTTTTTCACTTATTTCTCAATTTTTCATATTCTCGTAATTTTTTCAATCAATTTTATTTTAAATCTTTTCAACCAATTTGATTAACACAAAATTAAATTTTTTTCTTTATCTTTTTCTAAATATTTTCCATAAATCTTAATAACAACTAATATTATTTTATTTATAATTTATATTAAGTTTTATTATATTATATTTTTTAGATGTTATTATTCTTATTTTCACATATCAAATTTTATCTTAATAAAATAATTATATTTTAAAAGATTTAAAAAAAATTAATAATTTAAATTTTTATTATTTCAAACTAATTAAATAAGAATTAACTTATTTAATATTTTCTTATAAATTATATATTTCATATTTTAAAATAACAACTTAAAAATGAATTAATTTATATATAAAGTCAAATATTTTGAATACATTATTATTATTATTATTATTATATTATTATTATAAATATTTAAATTTTTTAATACAATATTATAATAATAATAGAAATATTATATATATATATATAAATAAAAAATAAATAAATATTTTTTGACATATATATATTTTAATATAAATATAATACATTAAAATATATATTTGACTAATAATAATTATAAATTATAAAAATATAAATATTTATTTATATATAAAAAATACATAAAATTAGTAAAATTAATTTATTATAAATATAATTATTTTTTAAAAAATTATATAGATCGAGGATGAGACAGGAGAACCCGAAACCTAACAAAGACGGAAATAGAGATTTAATTTCTAATCCCGTTGAAAATTGAAAACAAAGTCTATTAAAAAAGTCGGGACGAGAATTACGAAGATTATCTCCGCCCGATCCCGTTGTCATGCCTACAAGTAGGGGTGTCAAAGTGAGTCAACCCGGCTCACACGGGTTGACTCACCACGGGTTGAGTTTAAAATAGGTGAGCTCAACCCGGCTCACTTTTTGGTGAGCCAGAAATTTTACAACCCAGCTCAACCCACCATGGGTTGATGGGTTAGGTGGGTTGACTCACTAACCTATATTTTTTTAATTTTTTAAATTATATAAAAATTTCGGATGTAGAAACTTATGCTTTATTCCTTTTTTTCTCAATATCAGTATCTTCGTTATTAACTAAAATTGGCTCATTGGATTTTTCATTAATAATAAAATCATTACCAATACAATTTACATTAACACTTTGTTGTATTGTTTCGGATTTCATACTCGTGAATTAATTTAAAAAAAGAAGTCAAAAATTCATATATTAAAGAGATATACGTATAAATCAATAACAAACAACAAATAATGTATAGATGCTACAATTTTTAAATAAAGATTCATCAATCCAATAGTTTAGGTTATGAAACAAATTCTTATTTTTAAAAGCAATATAGTGGACATGGTGTAGTGGTGGACAGATAATAAGACAAGTGACCAAAGTGAAGCGGCAAACGTAATGGTGCAGCAAACAACTGATACCAAGTTTAAGTGAGGGTTTGACTTGTGACGACAGCTAACAATGTAGAGTAGAGGTAAGACAGGATAACATCAATTAAGGTTACTAAAGTATTATAATTATTTTTAAAATTTAAAATTAATGGTAGGTTGCGGGTTAACCCACCATTACTCGGCTCGAACCCGTTTAACTCGTGGATTAAGTGAATCAGGTTCATTTTAGTACATAATCAATAGAAATAAAAAAAATCAAACACAATCCGACTCAAACTCGTGATACCTACAAGAATACAAGGACATTAGCTCAAGATGTGTTACCTAATTCCAACTTCCGAATTTCTCCTTTCAATTTCTCTTCTTCTCTTTTCAAAAGAGTCCGTCCCCTTTCAACTTCCTTATTGTTCTCTTTTTAAAGCTGAAAATTAGGTAAACAAAGGAGACCTAGGATAAAAACCAAGGGCAAAAAAAAATGGTCCTTTTTCTTCTTTTTTTGTTTTCTTTTTTCTTTTGCTTTCATAAAAAAAATTATTATGTCTTCTATCTTATTTTTACCCTTTTTGTTATTTTCTTTTTTTATTATTATTAGAATTTAAAAAGAATAAAAATAAAAATAAACTCTTTTATTTATTATTATTTTTTTCCCTGACAAAATTGGATGCTGATACTTTCATTGCAACAGTAAATGCCGGAACATTAAATAATGTATAGTACTTGAAAAATACAGATAGAAAAAAGAAATCAATGAAACACATAATAAGTATCAGAGAGCAAAGTCCCCTTGTTGCAGTATAAATAAACAAACAAACAAATGTTACTCTTGACAAATATATGAAAAGACACATAACAAACATTAACACAGTTAACATGTTGAGAACAGTTAGCTGAAAAAGATGTTGTGTCCTTGAGCATTCTCCTTTTAATATTTATATTTATAATATACAATACAATAATAAATGGCTAGCAGCATTAAATGACTGATTTAATGAGCAAGGTGGCTGAAATATTCACCTTAATCCGTAGTAATCTCGAGTGCTTTTGTATTTAAAGATGGGATCAGTGCTGTCCTCTGAAATTCTGACTGAGCAGTCTTAACAGAAAATGTGAACACCATTAGCCCTTCATTCCTTTTCCTCCTTTTAAAGGCAACTATGAAGTGAAATTAAAAAGGCATATATACGTAAGAGTAATAAAAAAATTTGACAATTGTTCTGACATCCTCAATAATATTACCTCTTACGAGCTGAAGTTAGCATTAACAACGATAGAAATCTTCTAAACAAAACAAGGCAAAAATCATTCAAGAGCTCAATATAAATTAGAAGATCATCATAGGATTTTTCCAAGTTGTGTAGTCAACTCAGAAGATCTTGTCGAAACACATTTGAATAAACAATAAAATTATAAACATCACATAGTAAAAAGATATCAATGGAACATAAGAAAATGAACTAATCTTGGAAGCCAAAATACAGTCATTTTTCCTCAAAAAGTTTTCATGCTATAAATTGTCAAGCATGTATATATCCATCTCGGTTAGATGAACAAAGACAATAGCAAAGAGAAGCCATCTTAAATGATAGCATTACTGGCTGATATGGCTAAGGCTCTGCACCGTGCAACTCTATGTTGAATTGAAGAGTTCACAAGTTTCTTTGCGTTTACTTATATAGGAGGGTAACTTGCTCAGTAGATCTTTGGTGTCAAAAAGTCTACCATTTTCAAGTAAAGATTTAAAAACACGGAGGTAGATTGAATACGACCAGGGACTTCCCTTACTCTTCAGGAATTTTACAGCATCTTCTACAGACCCAAACTTAGAAATATACTGCACAAAGGGTTCAACAAATGGGCCGTAGTTGTGTTTCCTAGTCAAACAAAGAAGGTCAAGAGCCTCCTCAAATTTCTCAATTCCCAATAGATTTACAATCAGTTTCTTATATGTACCGTGTGACGGGGATGCGCCATGTTTACTAACAACCTCTACAAGCAACTTGTATGCATCATCTATTCGCTTTTGACCAAGAAAATTGTCTATCAGAACGCCTAAAACAGCAGCATCCACATTGCATCCCTTTTCAATCATCTTGTATAAACAAACTAATGTCGTGTCTACTTCATTCGCAACACAATGTCCTTGGACCAACAGGGTCCAAGTCTTAATATCAGGGATGCAGCCACAAGATTCCATCTCCTTCAGAACTTTACGTGCTTCTTCAAGCCTCCTCATCTTACAAAATCCAAAAATCACTTGACTATATGTGATGTTATCAGGCTGGTAGCCAACATTTCTCATGCTATTAACAATATTCTCAGCTTCGTCAAGTTTCCCAGCACTTGTTAAAGACATGTGGATTCCATCATAGATTGCCTTGGAGAGAGTGTGCCCCGTTGACTCATATTTCTTAGAAACCCTGAAAACTAAATCCAAATTTGGCTTATCACTTGCAGAGATGCTTTTCAAAAGAAGGTTGCAATCCTCAACTAATGGCTTATATGAACTATCCATCATAAGCTCATAAAGCTTGATAGCATCTTCCATCATCCTATTCTTTTAAAGCATCCTTAATATCTTTATGTAAGTATCAATATCCAATTCATGACCAACACTCTTCATCTCCTTAATGACACTCCAAAACTTTTCAATCGAGTCTGTCCTCGCGAGAACTCTTGCAACTGCATTATAAGTCACTATATTTTGCTCATACCCAGATTGCCTCCCAACCCAGTAAAAGAACTTGTAAGCCTTTAAAGGAGAATTTCGAAGCTCTCTCAAAACATTTATTACAAAATTATCTGACAGCTGAATTTTAACCTTTGCAAGTTCACGCCTAACACCATCACCCCAATTAGACTCTGAAATAATGTCAACCACATTAGTGACAACACTTCGCATTGAATTTTCCCAGTTACTCCGACTATAAAAGTGGATAAGAGACGAGCAATCATTGTCCATCTTTTTCCTTTTAAAATCGGCTAAAATTGGAAAATAGGTCTCTTCATCAAAATAAAACCCTTTTCTCTTCATAGTCCATAGAGTAATCCAAAATTGTTTTATCGTCTCCTTAGTGGCTAAGACTCTAAGAATTAAGCTATACAGTGACGAACTTGCTCTAAACCATTTTTTAGTACTGACCCAATCGAAAAAGCAGCATGTTTTTTCTGGGCTTGCTTCCAACCGCTTCAAAACGTAAACAACAGTTTCATGGGTGAGGGATGGGTAGCATTTTTCTAACTTGTGCTTTAACCCCTTGGACCAATTGCTGGTCAAAATTAGCTCGACAATGGGATTTGGTTTTGAAGAACAGTAGTAGAGCTTTCGATGAATGTTGGGAAAGTGGAAATCGTGAGGTTGATTCAAAAAGGGAGATGGAGTGTAGAGAGAGAAATGAGTCACCTGGTTATAAGTGAGTACGAGAGACTGAGTTGCAATGAGTCTACTGGCAAGTGTCGACTCGAGGAATTTGAAGTTAGCAACGATTGCCTTAAAACGATTCATGGTAGACTACAGAGAGACAATGCCAACTGGAGCATATATATTGAAATATATATATATATATATATATATATATATATATATATATATATATATATATATATATATATATATATATATTTTATTTTTTTTTGAATTATTGAAAATAATAATAATTTTATTATTAAATTTATTAAAAATTTTGATTTAAAAAAAAATTAAGACGGGCGCCAACCCGCTCTCTAAATGGACGAGTCAAGTTCTATCGTCCGTTATGATTACTGATGAGGTCAGTTTGTTCCGTCGTGCTTTTGACGAGTCAAAGGTGGGACAAATTGACTCATTTTATCATCCTAATCATGGGTAGCCATAATCGAAATTGACTAATCTTATTTATTCAGGTTTTTCTTTAGTGTTTTTATTTGCTGATATTCTGTTCACGTTAATGGAAAAGTGATGATTTTTTGTATTTGTATCTATCAATTTGTAAAGAAGTGCGAGAAAATATTTAAGAAAAACTGCAAAAGAAGAACTTCGTTACATTGAGTAGAAAAACGAAGAAAGACAAGGGAACGAGGGTATAATGATCGTATTACCCTCTTTCATGTTTTTCACGTGAAGTCTCATAATTACACATAAGAATCATTCACGTGGTTTTACATGCTTCCAAATATAGCATGAAATTTTTCAATGACGGTGAATGTATCCTTTTTATGATAGGGAATTCTTGCAGGTTAAATAGATGCAATACATGCAATGCAACTAATGTTTTCATCTCAACTTGAAGTTGTCATTAAATATGGAAGAGGAGGTGGTCGTGGTCATGTATTGTTGGACATTCTTGTGTGAAGGTGAGTTGTGGTGGTGGTTTGGGATGTATGTGTGGTATGCGTTTGTGCCAGGAGTGGCTAAAAGTGGTTGAAGGAGGTAGAGAGAATTGATTTTGGGTGAGAGAATTGATTTTTGATCCGTAGATAATCATTTTTTTGATAGGTGATGAAATGATAATTGATTCTCATTTTATTTTAATGATAAATAATTTACTCTTCGTTAAAACAAAAACATGGAGAGGATTGTTACAAGAAAGCTTGAATACATCAAATATGTCAAACTTTGTTATCAATTGCAATGTCATATAAAGCACCACGGATGAATATATAAATGATTGTATTTTGAACATGGATGATGATTGGTTGGTCGAGAAGTTGATTATGTTATAAAATTATATCTTCTTAAGTAAATACATAAAGAGAAGTAATAATTGAAAGAATCCAATGAGAATCGATAATTAGAACATAATCTATTGTCATTAATTCATATTATTCAATAAAAAATAAAAATCACATTCGATGATTTTCTTTTTAATTCATGAGTTGTGAATTAAGGAATTATTTTTTCTTAATATCATACACATAAAATACATAGATTATTTTTTTAATATCAAAATTGTATTCTACTTTCTTCTTAAATGATTAACTTTATATTTTAAAATATATAAAAACTAATGCCGTTTTAAAATTTATATAAATTAAATAAACTTTTGAAAAATAATTTCAATATTTTATAATTCTTTTTCATTTTAGTACGTATCATTATTAAAATGTAATTTAGTTTTTTTACAAAAAAATGTAATTTAATTCATATATAAAAAATATATGTTTTAATAATAATATAAAAATATATATTTAAAATAAATGACTAATTTAAAACTTAGTTTTTAATTATTTATTTATTTTAAAGATTAAAAATATATTTTCTAAGGACTATTCAACTATTTTTTTCTATTTTTAATTGTAAACTAATGTTTTAATTTTCTTAACAGTTATTTAAAATAATCATCCAAAATTTATTTAAAATTAATTTTCATCAATTGTATTTTTTAATATAATTTTATATATTTAAATTTTTTTATTTTAAATAATAACTCATAATCTATTTTTATATACTTTACACTAATTATATTTTATTTTAAATATATTTTTTAAGATAAAGATAAAATTATATTATAATTTTATCCATTAAAATATTTTAATCTATCATATTTATATTTTATTTTAAATAACTTTTTAAGACAAAATAAAATTATATTATAATTTTATTAATTAAAATATTTTTTTAAATTTATTGTTAATTTTCATAAACTTTCTTCTCATTCTTTTCTTTATTTTTTACTCATTTTTTCTTTAATCCAAACAATTTAACTTTTTTTTTCTTAAAAATTTATTCTATTCCACTCCCGAATGGATTTTCAGGGCAAACAGAGCTTATAAGATAATGCGAGTGTGCGAACCATTGCCAATACACTTATTATAAGTTCAAAGTAAAAGGAGTGGCAAGACATAGGAAACAAAAAATACGATTGAAATAGAATTGTCTTTTACACTACTTTCAGTAGAAGTAAAAAATTTAAACTTTTTTTTAAATATTCATAAATTATAGATAAAAAAAGATGCAGTATGATGTTTCAAGCATTTTAAGAGTTAGATTAAATGTTAGTTAGAAAACAATATTGAAAAATAAACTTCTTCACAAAATAATCTCAATGGTAAATAAATAAATATATATATATATAATATTATAATAGTAAAAAATATATTTTTATCATAATTTATTATTCATTATTATCAGAAGAAAAGAGGATAAAGGAGATTGTGGTAAATAATAATAAAAAAAGAATACCTAGAAATCTTAAAAAATTATATAGCAAAATATAATTAATTAAGATTAGTCTCCATAATTTTTAATTTTTTTAAAAAGCATTGGATAATTTGTTTTTTCTTTTTTAACCCATTTCGAACATTTACATGTTTACTCAAGTTCTATCATCAAATGATTTTTATATAGAGAGACAAATAGATGTTAAGTAGAAAAATAGCACCATTATTAAAAAAAAAAAAAAAGTAAATTAAAAAAAACTAAAAACCACTAAACATTAAAAACAAATGGTAGAAAACACAGGGTTTTCAATGGTGAATTTACTTAATTATGGTTTGTCTGAAAATTTAATCTTAACAATTATTAGATGTTCTTAATTCCAATTCATGTTCCTTTTCACTGTCAAGTCATAATTGCATAACTAAGTCACTTTATAATCCTCAATCTATTGTTAATTCTAAATTTCACTGTAAGGCAAAATAAATGACACTTGTGATTATTACATAATATTTATATGAAGCTATACAAACTAGACAACTCATTTCACATTAACTTTATGTCTATGCAAGAACACCCGATAAACCAGAACTTGTTTCAACCAAGGATGCTAATAATTAAGATTAAGTCCCTTTACACAACCTTCTTTCTTCTTGATTTCATGGTTGAAACAAATATTTAAATTCTTAGTAGAATTACCTAGACATCCTTAGATTGTGACAAAATAAACTGTGTTTTTTTTATTATTATTTTGTTTACATATAATTTAGAATTATTTGAATTTATATTTGATATCAAATTAATCTTTTCCTCAATAGTAGACTCTTTGAGATAAAGGAGTACTTTCAATTTTCACTTTACTTTTATGATGGAGATTTGTTTGCTTATTCATGAATTTGGTAGTTAAAAAAAATCATTTAATAATCTTCTAATTGAAATAACATTTAGACCTTCAATTAAAATTAGAAAAGTAAAAATTATAATTAAACCTACCGATAATGTGATTAATTACTATTAAAGCGATTTACAACCACCATAAATATTTTGCAATATGATTTAATTTATTTAACTTAATCATATCTAAGCAATCAATTAAAATTACAAAGAATGTGTGAATTCCTCCTAGTAAAATTATAAACAACACGTAACATCTGTGCAGAAAAAAAAAAAAAAAACTTCTAACTTTAACCTAAAAGAAAGAAAGAAAGAATCTAAAAGCAAAATATAAAGTGGGCTTTTTAGGCTTAACGTGTACTGATGTGCACTTGGGCTGTGCCTGGATTTTTGTCCGGCGACAGATCCATATCCACTAATAACTATTCCTATTGAAAGATAGTGATGGCTCGGCCCATTTCATGATTTTCTTTTTCCCCATACTTATATCTTCTAAAAGGTATGTTTGTCTTATTATCAATAGAATATTTTAATAGCTATTTTTTATTAAATTATTCTTAGATAAAATTTCCTTTTTTTATTTTTGTTTGTTATTCACAAAATGTAAATTCAACTATACCTTATTTAAAATGTTTAAATTTCACTCAAATAAACGTAAACAACATATTGATTTCTTCTAAAAAGGGTTGACATAACATGTCATAAAACATGCACGAAAAGAGGAGTGTAAAAGTCTGAAAAACTATCATAAATTTAGACTTTGCCGTGTTTTCCATTGCACATAACAAAATTCAATTCTTAACCTATTAAACAACCTTTTCCTATGTTTTTAGCAAAAGACTACTTTAAAGTTGAGACAAGCTTTTTAGGGTTGGGTGTTTTGGCCATTTGTGTAGGTTTGATGCATCGTCCCTACGAGATCAATTGTCACTGCCACCACGGCATTACCAAGTGGTGTCCTTCATTCTAAAGTACCTTTTTCTCCGACTCCTTAACTCACAAGTTCTTATAATCTTTCTCCTGCTTTTGCTTCTCTCATCTCATTTCTCACTTCCCATTGGTTATTTTTCTTAGATCCGCTTCACACGGCTTTATCAATTCCTAATAAATTCAACCATAACTACACATAATTTTCAAGTATATTCTGTTAATTCTCTTTTCACTTAAATAAACAAGGTCCTGGATGAAATATTTAATGTACTTAGTATCTTAATCTTGGTATGCTTAACATATAGAGGGTTATTAAAAAACACAGAACTTCAAATTCTTTATCTATTTTCATTCCTCTACAGAATGGTATCTTAAATGAAGCATTTTGATTACTGTCTGGACCACTTGCACTGACCAAGTATCCAAATTTTGGAGTCAGTAAATTAGCTGCTCGAAGTTATGATACAACATTAGCTAAGGATTTATGGTTTAATTATATTCATGACTTTTTGTTTTTGTTAAGAAATGTTTTGAAATACTCCCACAAT